TATACAAAATTCCAGAAACAAAATCCTGATATACAAAATCTTGACAAATTAAGAATTTGACAATATTAAAAATTAGAATTTTAATTTGCAAAATTTTGTGTATTAGATTTTTTTGCTGGGATTTTGTGTATCAGAATTAGTATATTTGGATTCTTATATACAACTACTTGTGCTAGCTATAAAGCTAATCACAGCATGAGGTTCTTGCATTGCTATTACAGCCATGAAGTCTAATCACAAAATAAGATCCTTGTATAGTATAATAAAAATTAATAGTACACTTATCTTTAACTCCTTTTAAGCAACTCAAGCACCTAGTTAATGTGAATAAAATATTATAATGTTATAAGTTATTTGGTTTATCTATACAAATATCTGGATATTATAGCTAAAAAAATAGCAGTTATCAGGATTTATATTTTGTTATTCAAATCTATTCTTGATTAGAATTAAAGGTTGATTTTGGCTTAACCAGATTATACTTTATATATTGTACTATATTTTTAGTACAATAGGTATTATATAGCAATTGTTGCTATATAATTAGTAATACAAAAAAATTTTTAGCTATATTAATTAGTAATGTAATTGTTTGTTTAATAATAAACAATATATTTGTATTTGTTTAATCTCAATAGGAGGTTGAAGAGAATTCAGTAAATAACTATTATTAGATAACCTTAACAAATTCATATTTGGTTAATACAATTTTGAAGAATAATAGTAAATTTATTTATTTGTAATATTATATATTTTAAAAATTTTGAAATTTAAAAAATCATATAAAGTTATAATTTTTTTATTTTGTATTTATATTTTATATTAAATTTTTTATTTAAATTTAAAAATTTTAATATATTTATTATAACAATAAAATTTATTAAAAAACATATTTATAATGGTTGCTAAAAGAACTACTTGCAATATAAATCAAGGTTTTTTAAATAAAAAATTAAAATAGACAGATGAAAACTTATCAAAAGAAAAATTAAATATTAAAATTGAATAATCAAAAAAGAATCTTTTAAAAATAAAAAAACTTTAATAGCTTTTGACTATAATAAAAAAAAGCTATTTATAAATATTTAAAATTTTTGAAATGTGAAAAAACAAAAGATGCAGCAGGTAATCAAGCTGCTAAATTAGTATATATAAATATACTAATAATACAAGAAGAATAATTTGAAGCTAGACCAAACATTGGCTTGAAAATAATAGTTTGCCAATATCTAATATAAAAAATAATATCAAAATTTGATAATAAAAATTTTGTTATGAAATGTAAAAATTGAATTAAATTACAAGACAAAACAACAATATTCAATAAATTTAGAAATTATATTAATGAAAAATTATCTAAATTGATATTTTTAAATCAGTAGCTAACTAGTTAAATAAGCTCAGAAATTCTTATCAACTAGTTAAAAAAGATATATATTTTATTTTAATATAAAAAAATTATATAATAATTATTTTATTTTATTTTATTATTAAAAAAATTTATTGGAATAGTTATAAAAGACCAGATGTATTAGATGTAGTTAAAGAAAAAAAATTTATTGATATTATTGATAATATTAAACCTTTTATAGCTAGCTTTGAAGGAGAAAATTTGAAAATTATTAATTATCCAGAATTAAAAGAAAGGAGAATACAAATATACACCACAGGTGATTATCAACTGTAGTTATTTTACCAATTAAAATCCAGAATCAGGTGTAACATGTAAATAAATTTTGTGTAATAAAAACAAAGAAATTTTTTAAAAAAAACTTTATATCTCAAAATTTTATCTATGAACCCACTTTTCAAGCTCTAACAAAAAAAATTTCTTGCTAAATTTTACTATATTTAAACCATATCTTAACCCTAACCTATAACCTTACCGTAACTCTAATATTAAAAAGGTTAATTTTTTTTTGTTTTGATAAAAATTATTATTTTCAGTTAGATCTACTAATAGTTATTTATATTAATAGTAATTATTTGAAGATTCTGTAAAAATTCCTAAAAATTATGGTTAGTAATTTTCTTACTTAAGAAGATGTACATCTTAGATTTAATGATGAATATGCATATATAACTTTTGAATTGGAAAAAATATCAAGGATATTGGATAGCTGAAGATCTTGTTAAACAAATAGAAAAAAAAATTATTTCAATTTTTAAAAAAAGATTTCCAAATTGTACTATAGTATTTGTTTTTGATAACTGCCCTTCTCATAAACATTTGCACGTGATACTTGTTATTTTAAAAAAAATTTTTTGATATTAATAAGCTAGAAATTTTTCTATTTATATTTTATTTCCAATCACTATACTGGGGGTCTCAGAAATAACATATTTTGAAAAAATCTTATTTATGTTTTGAAATTTCGAAATTAGAAAAAAAAAAAAGGAGTTATCCAGAGATAAAATAAACAAATTTTTTGATGATGTATATAATATCTTATTATATAAATAGGCTTGCAAATAAAAATAAATAGGTATCGCTGATTACAAAATTAACATGTCACTAATTTAATTCGAAATCAGAAACCTGAACCCTACTGCCAAATTCTATTGCTGTTAGAGAAAAAGTCCAAATGATTTATTATTTCAAAAAGATTTTCTGTATTCGATTTATTGATGTTTTCAAAATTTGTGTAGTTACTTAAACAAAGTAAACAACTATTATTAGAAATTGACTCGGAATATTTAGCTATCGATTCATCAAAGTTAACAAATATATAAGGATAAAATGTTATTTTGCTTATGAAATTAATTAGACTATCTCTATTGATAATATCATTAGGATCTCCAGGGCCGCTATACAAATTATTCACTATATTTATTGTATCAGCAATTATAATTATAGTTTCCGAAGTATCCGTTGTTATAGTTTCGGGCTCTTCAAATTTAGTAAAAACATTATTTAAAGAAAGTTTATAGTCTTTAATTCTCTAAGCACGTTGTTTAAAGTATCTATACTTAAACAATAATCTCCAATATAGCTTGAAATGTTATTCAAAAAAGAAAGTAGAGTGCCTAGCTCTTTGAGCATATCTAATGACATGCCTAGTTAATGAACTAATAATAAAAGTTTTAATGTTATGCATAAGTCGTGAGACCAATTCTGGGACTGAAAGACGGACCGACAGGACCGAAAAACATTATAAAATCGGTCCAATAAGAACTGGGACCGACCGGGACGGACTGATCCATCCCTAGATACACATAAGGTTTTATAAATAAAATAATCATGTATTTAGGTACTGGAGGCTTAAACTCCAGAACTTCTCACAAATCTGTATTTCATACTTGATTCACAGGCAATTGAAATGTAAATGCTAGGATTGATGTACTTATAAACTTTTGTCATAAAAATAGTTTCATATAGCCTATACCCTTTATGACTAAAAAAAAGTTAGATACCTGCATAGATAATAAATGTCCTGAATTTTTCAGCATCCAAGATATTAAATGACATACCAATGTTTTTAATAATAGGCAATATTAAAAAATCTCTTTTTACTAATGTAGATTTAGTGATGAAATTATGTACGTGTTATTGTAGAAAAACTATAGTAAAATTTTTGACAATTTTATTGCTAGAAAATTTACTATTTTAACGCCCTTCGATCACGATTCGCCTCTTAAAACATATAGGCAATAAATATAAGTTTCATATATTTTAATAAACAGTAATAGCAGGTTTCACATTGCGTTGAATTTATGAAATATCCCAAAATTTTAAAAATTTGACTACTAATATGTAAAATATAGATTTAGACTAAGTTAATCAACAATCCCGAGTTATGATGCATCATCCTAATAAATTTCTGTGTCTAATGAGATACATCGGGAGTGGGGTAGATGGGTTGGCCTGTGGGGAAGATGGGTTTGATGCATTATCAACTAGATCAGAGGTCCAAAAATTTTTTCGGGTTTACATTGATCAATATCGGTAACTAAAATTTAAATTTGAGATCAAATGCTTGGATTTGGTATCCGAATTTTTGCTTAATTTCATAAATTCTCCGTGATGAGATAACCACAATATTATTAGTACATTTTATAAATAGTCTAAAACCCTGTTTATTGTATATGTTTTAAAAACAATGTTTAACGAGTTTTGGAACATAAACTAACCAGTTTAAGCAATAATATTATATTTTGGCATGCCTCATGACAGGAATGCCAGTTACTCCATTTATTTTCTATGAAATACAAATTGCATCATTTAAGTCAAAGTTCTTAAAAGACAGCTCTACTTATTGGCATTAAATTTAAGATCTAATTTTAAGGAACTCAATTGTTGAAAAATTTTCTCTATTAAAGGACGATTATCTGGTTCATAATCCCAACATTTCGAATAAAGATCGACATATTGTTTAGGCGTTCCTGCAATTGGTTTTTCACGTAAACCTTGAGTAATTTCAAGTGGAAGAACAATCATATTGTTATTTTGACTAAAAGGGGGTTGTCCATTATTGGAAATTTCCCACATCAGCACTCCTATACTGTATACATCAGACTTTTTGTTATACGAATAATTTGGGTTTTCAAGTTTACGATGATCAATAAAAGGGATAACTCCATAAAATTCTTTACTATTGATTGTTGAGCTATCAAGACTTTTTGAAAATCCAAAATCCGAAATTTTAACATCTCCATCGTGGATAAGAATGTTCAAAGTGTGCTAATTTGTAGATAAAATACCTATAAATTACTTGTTAATTTTTTATAACGATTAAATGAAAATAGATACTTTACCAAATCGCGATGTATGATGTTTATACTATGAAGATAAGACATTCCCTCTGCTATTTGACTTGCCAACCGAATTTTTTCTGGCCATTCTAATTTATTATTTTGTAGATATACTCGTAAATTTCCATTATTTGCATATTCTATTACAAGATACTGTGTTTTTTCTGTCACGTCTTATAATAAATTTTTTGAATCAAAATTTGATTTATATACAGAAATCTGATGGTAATGTTCAATAATAAATTTTTTACCGAGACTAATCCCATAAAATTTAATAATTCGCTCATCTCATGATTATATTTGTTAAGTCGTTTTATCTAAAAATACTAATTTATCTTAGAAATCCAAATAAATAATAAATTTTATGCATAAGTATTTAGCTGTTATACCTCATTTATAAACAGTTTTTGAGTCTTTTCATCCGTTTTTGATTCTAATTCCTTAATGGCCACGTCGCCTAGTGAACTAGATGTTGCCCGATACACTCTTCCAAAATCACCATGTCCTATCTTTTTCTTATCTACTAAACTATTATAAGATATTTCTTGTAATTTGTGTTCTTTAATAACGGTTTGAAACCTGTCCTTGTAACTAAATGGTTTATTATGTAAGTGGAAAAAAACAGAAATAAAATTTAATAGAGGATTCCAATGATGATGGTATATTTTATGAATAAACTATAATTACCGTCTAGTAATTTGACACATAAATGAGAGAACAGAAAAGTAATATTTTATAGAAAATTCTATCGATAATAAACTATATACTTACTCTCTGGTAATTTAACGGTAAATAAAAAGAACAGAGAAACAAAATTTAATAAGGATTTATATTGATAATATTTTGTATATTATTTTATGAATAAAACTATGCTTACTCCCTAGTAATGATTTTTTTTTAGCGCATAAACGAAAGAACCGAGAAATAATATTTAATAGAGAATTCGATTGACCATAAAATGTGTACATACTATATTGTATATCATCATAAACTATGTACTTACTCCCTGGTGATTCAACATACAAGAAAAACAATATTTAATAGAGACTGCTAATGAATAAAATGTACAAAATTTTATGAATAATATAAATACCACCTAGTAAATTTTTCATACGTATAAGCAAAGTATTATTTAATATAATTTCTATTAACAATAAGATATGTATATTAATAAATTATATACTTACAAGCTAGTATAGTAAGTAAAGTAAAATTAGTAGAGAATTCTATTTATTATAAAATGTATAGTATATTTTATGAATAAACTATAAATACCGACTAGTAATTTAATATTTAAGTGAAAGAACAGAGAAAATAATTTTCAATATAAAATTCTATTAACAATAAAATGTATAAATTATTTATGAATAAACTATATACTGACTCCCTGGCAATTTAACATGTAAATAAAAGAATTACCATTTAATAGATATTCCATTTATAATAAAATGTGTGAATTATTTTATGAATAAATAATTATAAACTTACAAAACCTGATTAGATTCTTCATATTTGGGGCTCAATTCCAAGGAATTCAATTGTTGAAAAATTTGAAACATTGAAGGACGTTTATTCTGTTCATAATCCCAACATCTCGAATAAAGAATAATATATCGTGCAGGTATTCCTGTAATTGGCTCTTCACGTAAGCCATAAATGATCCTTTGTAAGAGATCATCATCGGAACAATCTATTTGGCGGAGCACGTCCATTGCTAGAAATCTCCCACATAAGTACCCAATGCTGTATACGTCAGACAATTTATCATACGGATAATTTTGATTTTCAAGATATGAGGATCAATAAAAGGAATTGCACCACAAACTTTATTGCTACGTATCGCTATGCTATTGAGTGTTTTCGAAAATCCAAAATCTGAAATTTTAATATCATTCTTATGGATAAGAATGTTCGCGGTGTGCTTAATTAAAGACAATGCGCATATGAATAATTAAAAGACTTATTGACGTTTATAGCAAATTAAATAAGATCCGATGCATTACCAAATTACGATGTGTGATATCTATGCTGTGAAGATAAGACATTCCTTCTGCTATTTGGCTCGCTAATCGAATTTTTTCTGGCCATTCTAATTTATTTTGTTGCAGATATTTTCGTAAAGTTTCGTTGTCTGCATATTCCATTACAAGACAATGCATTTTCTTTGTTGAGTATTCGTCTTATAGTAAAGTTTGAAACAAGATTTGATTAATTTGTTGAAAAGTCATGATAATGTGTACTTATAAAAATCCAAAATGGGTGCTGGTCAAAATCCCGACAAAAAAAATCCCGACAGTAAAAATCCCGACAAATCCCGATGACTAAAAATTATTAAGTTCATTTAAGT